GCTGGGGGTGTGGCTCAGTGGTCAAGTGCCCCTGAGTTTAATCCCCAGCACCCCACCTCCATCCACGCAAAATAAATAAATAAATAAATAAAAATAAAAAATGCTGTTTTCCCAAATGACCACTTTGCAAATTTTGGGAAACAGTGAAAAGAAAGGGGAACAATCAGGTTTCAGTACATTTACAAAAGTTTTTTAGAAAGGAATAGAAGGTAAACAATTGAGACTTCCTACTTAAACTATGAGTAAGAAATCAAGATAGAGCTGAGCAGGTAAGACAACCCCAGGCAGGTTACAGTTAAGAAAGGGTAGGCCCTGAAGCTTCTTTCAGAAGTGGGTTTTGGTGGGGCTGCGGTTGTAGCTTAGTGGTAGAGTGCTTGCCTAGCATGTGTGAGGCATTGAGTTTGATCCTCAGCACCACATAAAAACAAATAAATAAAAAAATGAAGGGGTTGTATCTGTTTGCAACTAAAAAAATTTTAAAAAGAGTGGGTTTTTATGACAGAATAAGCATCTCATTTCTGGCTTTGGCAGACATCCTTGATCTGCAGAGGAGCTTGAGGGAAAGGGCAGGGATGGGTGTGTTGAGGATGCCTAATTCAATGATGGTGACTGGCAGGCTCTCCAGGGCTTTTCATTGGTTTCCAATCACTGATTTCCAATGGGGGAAAGTAGGAGAGAACCCCTTTTCTGACCTTCAGTCCTAGAGTTGGTTCTGGATAATATTTGACATGTTGTAGAATTAATTCAAGGAGTACTTGCATTTTTTTTTAAGAGAGAGAGAGAGAGAGAGAGAGAGAGAGAGAGAGAAACTTTAGTATTTATTTATTTATTTTTTTAGTTCTTGGCGGACACAACATCTTTGTTTGTATGTGGTGCTGAGGATCGAACCCAGGCCGCACGCATGCCAGGCGAGCGCGCTACCGCTTGAGCCACATCCCCAGCCCCAAAGAGTACTTGCATTTTGACAAATAAAATTTGCAACCTTATTTTTAATACCAATGCCAGCATATGAGAGTTATTTCCATACCATACAAAATATTAGAGTTATTTATATATAAAATTTCCTTTGTGGTTAATTAGAATACCAAATTTGCAAGACTACTTACCATATCCCAGTGATAGGTTTTTAAAAGATTCAGACAAAATATTAAGAGTTCCTATCCTCAAGGAATGCACAGTTTGCTTGTATGAGAAAATTAGCATTCAGCAAATAATTAGGGAAGAAATAAGTGATGAATTATAGTATTGATTTGAAGTGTAGTTTGAATTCAGGAAAGGCAAGTTCAGTACAAGTTGAATAAAAGATTATTGCAGGAAGATTAGACTTAAGCCTTTGGAATGAAGAAAGTTTAGAAGAAGATAAAAAGAGAATGAATGGCTTTGTGGTATGAAGAATAACATGAGTTAAGGCACAAAGGCAGAACATTAATATGTTCTCAGTGACATACAGGATATGTGTGACTGTAATTGGAACAAGTAAACAGGAAAAAAAGGTTGGAAAGTTGTAAGGTTTTGTTACCTCAAAATTCAGTCAGTTTGAACTGAATGTTATAGACAACTGTTGTCTAATGTAGATGCAATGTAAGTCATGTGTATAATTTAAAAATTTCCAGTGGCCACATTAAAAATGTGAAAAGAAACAGGTGAAGTTAATTTTTAACAATGTAGTTTTTCTAATTCAGAGTATTCAAAATACTGTAATTTTATCATATATTAAACATAAAATTTTAGACTACTCTAGTGTTTTAATTTAAATTTTCTATGTAATGTTTTGAACAGCCAACAATAAAAAATTAAAAAATAAAATAAAATAAAATTGATCACTGTCAAAAAAAATTTTTAAGAACTTCAGTTCTTCAATTATAATAGCTGCATTTCAATAACTCAATAGCCTTGTATAAGCATTGAACAGCATAGCTATCGATAAATGTGAGATTGTTTATTTTCAGAATAATAAAAAATGGTACCTTAGGAAGATTTGTTGTCCGTAATATAGGAATGAATTTAAAGGTGTCATGGTTGGGGGAGAAGATAAGTTAGATCTGGAATGAGTTCAACATGGGTACTAGAATGGTAGCAGTGGGGAGTTGAAAGAATAGGGCAAATCTGAGAAATATGTCAAAGAAAAAATAGATATGCTTTGATGATTAATTGGCAATTAAAAAGAAATCAAGTGTGATAGCCAGCCGTCAAACAATCCTTAAAGATCTTTGCCTCCTGGTATTCATTCCCTTCCATGCTAACCCAGGGGTGATTTTTTTTGTGTGTGTGTGGTTAATGAAATAAGCAGTAGTTATGGCACGTCACTTCCAAGATTAGGTTATAAAAGACACTGTGGCTTCTGCATTGTTGGTTCTCTCTCTAGGATCCCTAGCTCTGGAGGAAGCCAGGAGTTAAACTGTAAGCAGTCCTCTGGAAAGGCCCAGGTGGCGAGGACTTGAGGCTTGCCAGTGTCATGAGTTTGGAAGTGGTCCCTCCCTTCCCAGGTGAATATTTAGATAACTGCAGTCCCAGCTACCACTTTGCAGCCTCATGAGAAGCTGAGCCAGAACACCTGGCTAAGCCTCTCCCTGGCTTACACAACCTGTGGAGATAATGTTTATTGATTTATAAATTTGGAGGTAATGTGTTACAGTAATTGATGATTGCATATCAAACAATAATAAAAAGAAAATCAAACCTAAAAATAGGCAACAAAATTGAATAGGTATTTTTACAAAATAAAGTAGTAAACATGAAAAAGTGCTCAACATCTTAGACACTAGGAAAATGAAATGAAAACCACAACTTGACAGCACTCCACATATACTAGCATGACTAAAATTAAAAAGATTTCAAAGGGGCTGGGGTTGTGGCTCAGTGGTAAAGCACTTGCCTGGCATGTGTGAGGCACTGGGTTTGATCCTCAGTACCATATAAAAATAAACAAAATAAAGGTAATCTTTCCATCTACAACTAAAAAAAAATCACAAAATGATGATGAGTATATGGAGAAACCTGAATTCTTTTTTTAAAAAGCAGATATAATTAACATACCATATAATTCATCCATTTAAAGTATACTATTAAGTGTAAACAGTCCCATCACTAGCACACTTTCTCAAATGGTAAAACAGTTTCCATCTGGCCCAACAATGCCACTCATAGGCATATGCCTAAGAGAAAGGAAAACAGAGCCCACATAAAAACTTGTACATGGATAATCACAGCATCACTATTTTTAATAGCCAGAGAGTGGAAACAATCTTGTCCATGCACTGACAAAGAGATATTTTTTAAAAAGTTGTACATCCATACAATGAAGTATTATTGAACAAGAAAAAGAAATGAAGTACTGATATGTGTTACCACATGAATGAGTAATGCTGAGTGGAAGAAGCTGGTCACAAAGACCACATATTATATGATTCCATTTATATGAGTGTCTATATAAGCAAATATGTAGACAGAAAGCACACCAGGGGTTGCCCAGGAGATGGAGGACTAGAGGGTGACAGCTAAAATTACAGACTTTCTTTGTGGAATAATAAAAATATTTTGAAATTCATAGTGATGCTAGAGCCAGGACTGATTACATAGTTTGCTGGCCTAGTGCAAAATGAAAATGTGGGGTCCTTTATTAAAAAATTAACAGTAGAACATTAAACCAAGCAAGGGACCTTGTGAGATACAGGTAGCATTGTGAGACACAGAAGCTAGAGGGACAAGAAAACTTTGAATCTCAGGTCATAACAGGAAATCCATGTCTTGCCAGTATACTATGCTGGATAAGATGATCCATTCATTTTTGTGACCAAGTAAGGAAGCAAGATGATGGTGATTGCCTGTAGCTAGAGACTGAATCGCAGTTCAGGAATTTGTTGTCTGTTGTTTTTCCTTTGTTTAGTGGGAATTTAGTTATTATATTTGACATAGGTCAGAAGGTAATTTTTTTTTAAAGATTTGATAGTGTATCTCCTTAAATACAGAGGAGCTAAAAATAACTCCTTTAGGGCTGGGGAGTACAGCTCAGTAGTAGAGTTTGCGGAGAACGTGGGAGTAGTAGAGTTTGCCAAGGCTTCAATCCCCAGCACTGAAGAAACAAAACTCCTTTAATTTCCCCTCTTAAACTCTTCACTGAATTTTTTATTTCTCATAAATACAAATACTTGATTGGTGATGAAATGTTGGCTGCTAGACTTTTGGGTGGATCTGAGAGCAACTCTACAGTGTATTTTAGTGGTTTAGTTAAATCTTGTTTTAAGTTACTTTTGGAATATAATTACTCTTTCACTGATAGCAGTAATTTTTAGTTTAGTTAATGAGGACATAAATATCCTTTTTTTTTTTTTTTGTACCAGGGATTGAACCCAGAGGCTCTTAACCACCAAGACACATCCATAGCGTCCCTCGCCTTTCAAAGTTTCTTAGGGCCTCATTAAGTTGCTGAGTCTGGCTTTGAATTCTTTATCCTCCAGACTCAGCCTTCCCATCCGCTGGGGTTACATGAGCGTGCCACCGCTCCTGACCTATCACCTCTGAATCAGATATTCTTGTCTGTCATTGAGAAAGATTGGGGGATGTATAATTTATTCCAAGAAAATTGCAAATGTTCCAATTCTAGCATGAAAGGATTTCAACTATATTGGGTTACAAATAAACTATATCGATATTTCATCTGCTTTATTCTCAAAGAATATTAAATAACATTTTAAATTTAAAATCATTAAAATTTCAGAAAAGTCATTGACATCAATCCCAACTGGCCAAGACTGTTTGGGCTTTTCCCAAAACCGCCTCTGGAGGGCAATCTTCTTTCCTGCTAATCCGACAGAGTCAACTCCACCCTCTCCCACGGCCTGGCCTCAGCTCTTTCTCTCTGCTCTCGCTTTGGCCCCGCCCACGACCCTGGCCCCGCCCACGACCCTGGCCCCGCCCCAGCCCGTAGCTCAATCCATTTCCTCCTGTGGTTGCTCTTGCCCCGCCCCTTAGCGTAGCGTAGAGGAAAAGACGCCGTGGGCCGCTCTGGCATCTTGGAGGACTTGTCCTCTGTGTCGGGCGGCGTGGGGTTGTTCCGGTCTGTCGTGAGGTGCAAGTCCGGTACGTCTTTCTAGCTGCTTTAGCTCCGGATTTTTTTTGGCGATGGGACATCAGAACGTGTGGAGGCTAATGTCGAGGTAAGTGCCAAGGGCAGCTCATCACCTACTCTCGCCCAGGTGAGAAAAGGGTCCTGGGTGGCCGACTGTTTGGCTTCCAAGTTTCGAGTCCCACTTGTAGGCACAGCCTTCAAACCCGGCTTGCATGCTCTGATGCCCCCACGCCCTCTGCCCAGCTTTCCGCTTCTCTTCCTTCAGCAACATCTTTGCAGCATTACCTCCATTTTCTGTCACTGGCTCCTAATCATAAGCCACGGCGTTTTTTCCTTTTGGCATCTATTTCTTTCATTTATTAAAGGTGGGGTACAGTTTTGGGTCATGTAGGGATTCAAGTTAGAGTAAATTAACATGTGTCACGTTTTATGCAGCTAACAGACGTGCTTTGCTAGTTGTTGCACCTGTGCTGGTGGTGTGTGCCTTGGTTGGCTTTATTAGATGATTCCAGCGTTGTTACAGGGGCCTGGAACTTAGGGAATAGTGTTGAGGATATTTGACGTGACTTAGTGGGGAATGTGTGAAGACGTTAACTTTTTAAAAGTGCTCTTCACTGCAGGTTGGGCTCAGCACAGCAACTGTGGTAGCAATCATTTTGATGATAGGAAATTAGGCTGCATCAGTTTTAAGGCCTACTGCCTGCCCTTAAATAATACCACGTAGCAGCTGTGCCTCCTTGAAAGGGGATTTATTATTTCCTCCACAAGTTATTTCTGCTTAAGGATTTGCTTTAGGGGTTTTCTGCGAAGGGATTCATAGCGTTTCTTTGAAGAATAGTTATTGTTTCAGTAAAAAGTGTCTTTTGGTCTGACATTGTATCCATTGACCTGATTCTCAAATGTTTGTTACGCTTTGAAGGGCTACATTTTGTTTTCTTGGTATCTTAAAATTCCTCCCTGTACTTCTAATCACCTCATGGAGAAACTTAGTAAATACTAAGAATATCAGTACATATCTCATTGCCTCTGCTTTTTTGATGTCAGCAAATACCAAATTATTTGATAAACAAGACACGTTTATTGACGTTAACTTAGTTGGGTAAGAATATATTCCCACTGTTCATCTTGGGTTTATTCCCCCCACATTTCAAGATGCAGACTGGATTAGGGGAAGCCAGGGAGATTTTGTTTAGATATGCCTTTTCCAGATCCAGCTCTGAAGTGGGTATTATACTAACAAAACAGGACCTGAGGTTGGGTCATCCAGTCTAAGGTTGCCTAATCCACAAATGTATAAGGGAATAGGATGCCCCAGAGTGTTTTTGAGAGGTAAAAAGGGCCTGTGTGCCATGGTTGATATTGTTGGGCAATCCTACTTGAACTATGGCCTCCTTTGGCTTCTCTAGCATTGTCTTATGTTCCTGCTACCACTCTTCCACTACTTTTCTTGATTCAGTGTCAGTTCCTTGTACATTTTTTCGTCTCCAAATCATCTTTAACAATAACTTACATTTGTTTAACCTGATTTTTCCTGAGCTCTTGTGCTAGTTACAACTATCTGAATGTTTTGATTGCCCTTCGAATATGTTTGCTCATAATTGCAACCTTTACAACTCATTTGTTTCTCTTGGCATTATCAGTCTTCTAGATATCTAAAATTATGTAAGTTCTCCCATACTTCCAAACCTTATCTCTTCCTGCTGACTCAAATTTAATTATCACTTGCTAATTTTGCAAAGAGTTGATTGATGAATTTACCCTCATCCCAGTTTGAGTAGGTTCATACAAGACTGTTAGAGTCATCTTACTAAATTTTACTTTAGTGCCTGCCATTCTTCTGCTCAAAAGCTCTCAGAGGTACCCTTGTGTTCATGGACTTGAATAAAATTTACTGGCCTGGATTGCAAGGATTTGGCTTCAATTTATTTCACGAATACAATATTTTACAGTGATTCTAGCTGCAGGGAGATACTGTTCTAGGCAATTCTATTATCCTATAGCTATCTGGACTACTTGGTATTCTTACTGTTCCTTATCCAAGTCCCTTAAAGTCTGTAAGAATAGCATATATGAGACAGATAATTGGACAAAAGTGGTATTTAGTTACCAAATCTGGTAAGCATCTTAAAGGAAAGGCTCAGATATGAGAGAGCCAGATTTAGATAGAGGAAGTCAAAGTCAGTCTCTTAAATGGATTGATCTTTAAGTTGTTAATAGAACTCATTGTTTTTTTTTTTTTCCATCTGTTCTGCTTAATTAAATTGTTTGGGTTCTTGCTCTTTGGCTGCTTCTTTTCTTTTTTCTTCTACTTAGGTGTCCAGAAGCTCAATTATGTGTTCCATCTCTCCCCACCCCAGTGTTCTAGGAGGCACATGTCCAAGTGCAGAGGCTGAAAATATGTGTTTAGTGATTCTAGATGATAGCATTTGGGGGCTGGTAAGCTAGGGAGAATGCTCTGTCTAAAGGAGGCAGTTCCTTAGCCCCCGACATTGTTGTCATTCCAGAATTTAGATACAGTGTTTCTATATCTACTTTTGGTTTTTCTGAAAAAGCTGGAAACTGCATGTTTATGTGAAATCTTTTGGTTTTTAAATATGCATAATTTTGAAACACTGCTGAATGGAAAAACAACAACAATGATAATGACAAAGAAGCACATTTTCAGACCTAGATAGCAACTTCTGGCCACTAATTTCCAATTGCAGCTCTCTTTTTATTTCTTACCAAAACTTGATACTTCCACAATTGTCTGTATATGTGAGTTCCTGCCTCTAGTCTTAACTTTTCTTTGAGGCTCCAGTCTCTTTTCTCCATTTGATTTTGAATGTTTCTACTTATTATCAGTACAAATTGAAATAAAAAAATCAAGTTCACATTTTATCCTACAAACCAGTTGTTTTCCTTTCCAATCTTTTCAATATATTCTTCTAACTATTTTTATTTGAAATCTTGGAGTCATTTTTGAAATAAGTCTTTTATTTTTCACTGTGTTTTTACTTCATAACTCAATAAATCATTCCTTTCTATTTCTACAGCTGCTCTCCTTCATCAGCTACTGCTTGAATTACTTGGTCTTCTGGACCTGATTTTCTGCCCTATTTACATCTTGCCTACTTCTGGTGTAATAATCTTAATTCTGGTGTAATTACTTATATAATGATATTCTTGCTTGGATAGTTTCATGTGGTGTTGTTTAATTTTGTAAACCTATTTTTGATTCATTGGCTTAATCATGTGAATGATTAAGTTCCCGTTCTTCTAAGACAATCGTTTTTATACTTTAGCATGCAACATAATCACCTGAAGAGTTTATTAAGCAGATTTCTGGGTCCCACTCCCACAATTTCTTATTCAATAGGTCTGTATTGGGACAGATATTTTGCATTTCTAATAAATTACCAGTGTAGAGTGACACAATTTGACATCACCTGAAAGAATTGAAATACACCTGTTCATAGAATTAAATTAGCAGTCTCTGAGATGTGCATGGCCTCTTCCTATCCACCAGATGGCAGTTTGGGAACCAATAGAAGGAAAAGAGAAAACCATAAATTCAGAATTACTTGGAGACTCTAACTTTTCAAGTACTTACTTTGAGATATAAAAGCTAATACCAAATTTTATTTTATGTTTTTACAGCGCTGGGGATTGAACCCAAGGTCTCACTCATGCTAGGCAAGTGCTGTACCACTGAACTACATCCCCAGTCCCAAAACCAGATTTTAAGTATTTTGAATATAAATTGGACTAGATGGAAACAATATGATTAAAAATAATCTGGCATGGAATTTAGTAATACTTAGTTTTTTGTTGATTTCCTGTAATAATTGGTCCAGGGATTTTTGTGACCCATAAATGCTGTACAGAGTGCTTTTGCACTTGGATTTGGTAGGTTTAGATTAATTTTTCTATGAGTGAAATAAGATTCTATCTCAAATAAAACTGAGACTTGAAGATGGGCCTGTGTTTACCTATTTCTTCTTTTGTCACAGGTAATATTTAAACTGTTACTTAGATTTGCTATGGAAACTCCTTCTTTAACTTTGAGCTGACTTTGGGTGCTGACCTCATTAAGGAATTCAAGGTCATTCTGCATTGAAAAAAAAAAAAATAGCTCTTCATTTTCCTTTGATTCTGGGAATTGAACCTAAGGCCTTGAGCATGCTTAGGTACATTCAGCTCTTCAACTTTTTAGTATTTAAAACTTCCAAAAAGATAAAATTGATTCAAATTTAAAAAAGCTTATGTTAGTCTAAGTGTGGTTCAGATTTTAAGTCTGTATGAAAACCCTATTTAAAAAATAAGCTAGGATCTGTCACTTCAGTTTAATTTTTCTCAAGTGTTCATTTTAATGACAATTTGTCTGCATGTTGTTGTCATATCTATACCTATAACCCACCTCTCAAGTTTGATTAAGTGGTTTTTGGTCTGACTTTTTTTTTTTTTTTGGAATAAGAGTCTTTAGGTAAATTCTAATGTGAAAGCAGACTGGAGTCACTGGACTAGGATAAGAATATTTGTGATAAGGCAAATTCAAAATATGCTACTCCAGGAGTATGAAGTGTAACTGATTTGAGCAAATAGGCAGTTTCCCCTGTTTTGGTTTGATTGAATTGAATATAATATAAAGGGAAAGTAAATATAAATTTTGAATAATCATTTAGATTATAAATATTTTTTATATATTCAGGCATCTTCAGATGTGGTTATAGGTGGAAACAATTATCATATTATCTTTTTTTTTTTTTAAGTCTCAGGATATTGCTATTGCTCCTCCTATAATCTCGAAGTATCCTTGAAAAACTAAACTGGAAAATTATTAATTCCACTAGATAGTGTATGTATCTGCACGTATACCCTTCTTAGTCTGCTGTGGCTGATTCCAGCTTTGACTTCTCTCCATATATCTTAAATTTAACTTATTAAACAAGAAGCATGTATCTCAATACATTCTAACTTCAGTATTTTTATATGTACTGTCACTACATTGTGAGTTTTTCAACGGCAAGAGATGTGATTTGGGGGAAACTTTTTTAAAGGGCCCAAAGGATAAAGATACAGTTTGATGAGATCTTCACAAACTAAACATTTCTAAAAATCCCTGGTGCCTGGATCAGGAGACAAGCTAACAACATCATCCTGGAAGCCCGTCTCATGGCCCTTCTAGTCACTACCTTCCCCCCATGTTGCTTTATATTTTCTTAATCATGATTTAAATAAGGTGCTTAAATGCACCATTCTGAAGTATATAGCTTGGTGAACTTTTATGTGTGTAGGTCGTTCTCTAATCATCCTCTGGATATAGTTTTCAACTTTACATGTTTCTTCGTGCACCTTTCCAGCTTCCCCCACCTTCTGCCATTCTGAAATTTGTTATTGATCATCATTTCCAAGGTGTATATTAACTTTGTATTCCTATACTAATATTTTTAGAATTAAAAAATTAGAATGTCTTGTGATTATTGTTTTGTAGCTTGCTTCCTTTATGTAATTTCTGTCATACTTGTTTTCCATGTTATATTATTTAAATATTTTTAAATAAGTATTTTTAGTGTTCATGTAATTGTTGTATATAAATGACACAATTTAAAAAATCACTCTATTTACTTTTTACTTTGCTTCTAGTTTTTCATTTTTTTTAATTTGTTGTGAACATCTTTATAAATCAGACCTTGCAAATGTTGATGGAATTACTAGGTGGAAGAGAATTTTTTTAAAAAATATTTTCAGTTATAGATGGACACAATGCCTTTATTTATTGATTTTTATGTGGTGCTGAGGACCAAACCCAGTGCTTTATACATGCTAGGCAAATGCTCTACCATGAGTCACATCTCCAGCCCCTCAGAATGTTTTTTTTTCCTTATTAATATTTCAGGGTCTCTGTATGTTTTCCAGGCTGGCCATGAATTCCTGGGCTCAAGTGATCCTTCTGCCTCAACCTCTTGAGTGCTGGGACCATACGCAAGTGCCAGCATGCCCAGATAATCTTTTTAAAGATTGTGGATCTATATTTACATAACTCCTACTAGAAGAGCAGTACCAATTTATATTTCTCTCAGCAGTGTCTGAGAATGCCTATTTTATTGCTTCCATACCAAACTTTAAAAATTAATACACTTTATTTTTTAGAGCATTTTAGGTTTGTAGAAAAATTGAGCAGAAAATTTTGACAAATGTATAATGCCTTGTACCTAGTGTTACAGTGTAATGTGATTATTTTCACTGCCCTAAATGTTTCCTGTCTCCACCTATTCATCTTTCCCTTCTGCTCCCAGACCTCTGGCAACTAATGATCTTCCTATTCCATAGTTTTGCCTTTTTCAGAATATCATACACTTGAAATCATGCAGTATTAGTCTTTTCAAATTGATGACTTTCACTCAGAAGTACACACTCTCCCCCCCTTTGGGTGTGTGACATAATAATCTCTCTCTATTATTGCTGAATAATAGTCTATTTTATAGATGTACCAAAGTTGGATTGTACTTTGTCATTAAAGGACATTTTGGTTACTTCCACATTTTGAGCAATTATAAATGAAGCTAACATAACATTCATGTGCAGATTTTATTATAGACATAAGTTTTCAACTTATTTGGTAAGACACAAGGAGTGGAAGCTGGGCACAGTGGCACACACCTATAATCCCAGCGACTCAGGAGACTGAAGCAGGGAGGATCACAAGTTCAAGACCAGCCTCAGCATCTTAGTGAGACTCTGTCTCAGATATAAAGGGTTGGGGATATAACTCAGGAGTAAAATGCCCCTGGGTTCTATCCCCAGTATTGGAGAAGGGGAAAAAAAGGAGTCAAGGAGTGGGATTGCTAGATCATATGGTAAGAATATATTTAGTTTTTCAGTTTTGTAAGAAATTGCCAAACTTTTTCAAAAGGGCTCTACTCTTTGATTGCTAAAATTATCAGCAGTGAATAAGTTAAATCTTTTTTCTTTAACTTTTTGTTCTAATAATTTCTAGAAGAGGCTTAAGCAAAAGGCAATATAGTATTTGTAGATTGAGATATGACTGTCCACATTACTATGCTCATTGTATTCTACATTTGTTTCAGGTTTAACTCATTCAGAAGAACCAATATCATTTTGCAGCATTTGGTAAGTTTGGCCTTTGTTTAGCTGGCCTTATTGTTTTGTGATATGTAACTTAAAATGTCATTTTTATACAAGTAGAAAAATACTGGCATGGCAGGTTTCCTTGACCTTGGTATACCATTGTTCTCAATGAGTGCTGGGACTTATTGAGAACAATGAGTCCTCATAACCTTATGTCACCTCCTATCATAAGGTTATGATAGGTGACATAAGGTTATGATAAAAAGCATGGAGAAGCATGAGTGTTTGAGTTTAAATAATGGGTCTACTTCTTCATCTTAGGCAGATTACTTATATATATATATATATATATATATATGTTTAATATACATTACATATATAAAATATATATCATATATCTGACACATACATATATTTACATATGAATACATAAAATCAAGATAATATTATCTTAGAGTGTTTATGAATGATAAATAAGATAATAAATTTAAAAATCTAGCATAGTACATGGCATGTGGTCAATTTATAAGTTAGTAATTATTGTACTGATACTTTGCAAACGTAAATGTCCTTAGTTTATCAGTTTGTAAGGAAGAAATTCTGTTTTTCCCTCTTATATATCTTATGTAGACTGACAAGTATCTTGCACATAAGAAATAACAGGTTATATAAATAAGTACTATAGGGGCTGGGGTTGTGGCTCAGCGGTAGAGCGCTTGCCTAGCATGTGAGAAGCCCTAGTTTTGTCCTCAGCACCACACAAAAATAAATGAATAAAATAAAGGCATCGTGTCCAACTACCCCTAAAAAATATTTAAAAAAAATAAGTACTATAGCACTAACTGTACTCCTGGTGCTGTTCTAAGTACTTGATATTTATTAGCTGAATTAATTCTTATAGTCCTGTGGGGTATACTGCAGTTTTAAAACGTCTAAACTAAAATATTTTGTTAGTTTGTCATTAATGCATTTAGTGGCAAAATTGTACCTGAATATATATATATATTAATATCTTTATTTTGTTTATGTGGTGCTTGGGATCAAACTCAGTGCCTCACACATGCTAGGCAGGTGCTCTACCATTGAGCCACAATTCCAGCCCCAATCTGAACATATTTGAAGCTCTTTTTATCTTTGTCCTAACTAGTGTGACTATTCATGGTTTGGTGCAGAAATACAGAAGGATTTGATTATAATGTTCTGACCCAGGCTTCATTTGGAGTGGTTTACATAGTATATGATATGTACTATGTTACTTATCTAAAACAAGAACATTTTCTTGAATTAAAAGATTGTGGCCTCATCTTATTTTATGAAACTGAGCGACAAGGAGACTAAGTAACATACACAGTGTCACACAGCTAGTAAATATGAGGTGTGATATGAATCCAGACAGACTGGCTTCATTGACTTGCCTACTGTACTGTATAGCTTCTGACAAGAGTGGGCACTCAGTAGCTATTGCAAAGTGTACTTTAGTTATTGCTAAGGTGGAGATGGAAATGTGAAGATTATGTTATCCCTTTCTACTCTTATTTTAGTCAGTTGACATACATTGGGACTGAGGAGTTTCCTTGAAAAAGAACTTATCAGTGTAGTAATTCACAAATTTAGACACTGTACAGAGGGGGAAAGACATGACAGCCAGATCACATGGGTACTGTGGTGACATGGGGCATAAACTTCCCACTTTGAAGTAGGGAAGAAAAACTGAACTGTCATCAGAGCCTAAGGACTGAGTGCTTTTGGGTCCCAGTGTTAGCTTTGACATGATCCAGGGATAGAGAGGATCCCAAGCAGTCCTTCTGTGACCCTTCTAAGAGAACCAATGGAGTCACAGTTTTTCTTTTTTGGGGGAGGGGGTGTGAGGGCATGAGAGTACCAGGGATTGAACCCAAGGGTGTTTGTGTTTTACTTCTGAGTTACATACTTAGCACTTTTTACATTTTGAGACAGGGTTTCACCAAAAAAAAAAAAAAAAAAAAAAAAAGTTGCTGGGGCTGGCCTTGGATTTGCAATCTTCCTGCCTCAGCCTCCTGAATTGGCTAGGATTACTGGTGTGCCCAACTGGATTCATGCTTTCTTTTTATTTCATTGAATGATGGCTAGAAACATTTCTTCTTCCCTTTCTTTATTCTTACCCTTTCCCCACAACGTTCTTTCCTCATATACACTTTGGATTGTATGAGAATTTTGTTTCTGATTCTAGTGTCTGATCTTTCCTGACATAAGTTTCTTTTTACAGAAAACTTTTTTAGGTTTTAGTTAAAAATTGCTGGTGTTATTTTTGTAGAAAAGAGTGTTTTTTTTCCTTTAGAATTAATGAAAACATATATAGATGAGTCTAACACTGGAATGTTTTTCCCCTTCTGCCCTTTTGCATGAATGATTTTGATTCATGAACCAATAGTTGTTTTCAGGTTTTGAGAGTGCCTTGTTTTTCAGGTAGGAAGAAATATCCTTTCATTTGTTAATTCAATTATATCATCCTAATGGCATTGATGTGAGAAGATTCTGAGATAGTTTTTGTTTAAGACCTGATCTTTGTAAATGTCCTGTACAAATACTTAGCCTAAGTGTTTCAAAATCCATACTTAAGATGTTCTTGCATCATTATTATAGCAAAAATTGAAAATTATTCAGTTCCTATCAATAGGCATTGATATGTAATAACATTTTACACACCTGATAAAAATAAGTAGATGGGCTGAGTATGCAGTCTGCAAAATCCATATTGAGAATTTGTCACAAACATTGGTTAAATGGTCTGGTTTCTTCAAAAAATGAAAGGAAAAGAAAGGAATGGAGGAGAGCCTGTAGATTAAAATACTTGAAAGATAGTTTGTTCATTTAGATAGTTTGTTCATTTTTAAAAATGAACAAACTATCTGGATACATGCTTGACATTTATTATAAAACCTAGGAGAGGGGCTGGGGTTATGGCTCAGCGGTAGAGCACTCACCTCACACGTGCAAGGTCCTAGGTTCGATCCTCAACCACATATAAATAAATAGTCACCTAGGAGAGTTTTACTTTTCTGGAGAGGGAGCAGCTGTGATTGGGGTGGGACAGCTATGATTGGTGAAGGACTTTGGTTCTGTCTAAAAAGCATTGATTCTGGGATTTGATTTTTACCCCAAATACAAGGGTCAGTACATCCAGGATGTTCCAGCAAATTACCATAGACTGGGTGACCTAAAAGCAAACATTTCTCTTAGTTCTGGAGAGGGAGGCTGGAGAGTCCAAGATCAAGGCACCAACAGATTTAGTGTCTGACAAGGGCCTGCCTCAGAGTACATTAGTTGGCCATGTTGGCTTTCTTTTTGCTGCATCTTCACGTGGTGGGTGTTGGGTGGGGAGCTTTCTAAAGGTTCTTTTATAAGGGCACTGGTACCACTCATCAAGGCTGTGTCCTCGTGACTTTATCAATCTTACCTTCCTAATATAGAATCTTGGAGATTAGAATTTCAATGTATGAATGTGGGAGGGACACAAATGTCCAGTCTAGAATACAAACTTATAGCTTGTTATGAATTTATGGATGGTGGCAGAAAATATAAAACTCTTGGGTTAGAGACAAAGGACTTTATCATTTATTATGATGGAAGGAAGATAAACTGGAGTGTCCTCAGGGATTGAGGGATGAGTGTTTCTGGGCCCTGGTGTTTGCTTTGACATGTACTTCAGGCAAAGACAGAAAGTATTTCAAGCAGTTTTTCTGTGACTCTTCTAAAAGAACCAGCACTTTTTATTTTTCATTTTGAGACAAGATCTCTCTAAATTGTCTAGGTTGGTCTCCAACTTGTGATCCTCCTACCTCAGACTCCCAAGTAGCTGGGATTACAAAGGTGTGCTGCCATGCCCAGCTAAAACAGTTTTCTAAGTCTCTTAACGTAGTAGTTTCTAAGTCTAATCTATCATTCTTTTAAAAAGGTAATTAAAATTTTGTTTTGAATAGGTAGTATATGGATACAGATGGTACAAAATTGAGGGTTCAAAGGGCTGTCCTGCTCCTGTGTTTTAGATGCCAGTTTTCCTTCCTGGAAGTAAATATTTTCTAGTTCTATGAAAGAATGCTTGGTATTTTAATAGGAATTGCATTAAATCTGGGTAATGCTTTTAGTAGTATGGCCATTTTGACAATGATAATTCTGCCTCTCCAAGAGCATGAGAGATCTTTCCATCTTCTAAGGTCTTCTTCAATTTCTTTCTTTAGTGTTCTGTAGTTTTCATTGTAGAGGTCTTTCATTTCTTTTGTTAGATTTGATTCTCAGCTTTTTTTTTTTTTTTTCTAGGCTATGGTGATTGATGTAATTCTAATTTCTCTTCAGTTGATTCATTACTGATGTATAGGAACACATTTGATTTATGGGTATTGATTTTATATCTTGCTACTTTGCTGAATTCATTTATTAATCCTAGAAGTTTTCTGGTGGAATTTTTTTGGATCTTCTAAATATAGAATCAGCAAATAGTGATACTTTCAGTTCTTCTTATCCTATTTGTATCTCTTTAATTTCTTTTGTCTAATTGCTCTGGCTACAGTTTCCGGGATTATGTTGAATAGAAGTGGTTACAGAGAGTATCTCTGTCTTGTTCCAGTTTTTAGAGAGAATGCTTTCAATTTTTCTCCATTTAGAATGATGTTGGCCTTGGGTATAGCAGAGACAGCTTTTTCAATGTTGAGGTATGTTCCTATTATCTCTAGTTTTTCAAATGTTTTGAACATGAAGGGGTGATGTTTTCTGTCAAATGCTTTTTCTGCATCTATTGAGATGATCATATGATTCTTGTCTTTAAGTCTATTGATGTGAAGAATTAAGTTTATTGATTTCTGTTTGTTGAACCAAACTTGCATCCCTGGGATGAACCCCACTTGATCCTGGTACACTATCTTTTTAATATGTTTTTGTATGTGATTTGCCAGAATTTTACTGAGAATTTTTGCAACAATGTTCATCAGGGATTCTTTTTAGAGTCCCTAGCATGTGCTCATATGAATGATTATATTTTGTTTAAGTATATTTTCTCACTGATGAACATTTTAGTCTTTCATGTGAGTCCACACAGTCACTTGCTCTCTTTCTCTCTTTCTTTTCCTTTTTTTTTGGGGGAGTGGGGTGGGGTGGGGTGGAGCTGGGGATCGAACACAGTGCCTGACACATGCTAGGCAAGTACTCTACCATCAAGCTACGTGTGCTAGGGATTGAACCCATATTTTACTACAATTTATAGTGTTAAGTAAGTTTGAATTTCTCTAGTGAGAAATTTAAATTGAAAAGATACACTCTTTCCTGTTGTTTAATAGTCTTTCCTAAAACTTTTTAAATGCATATAAATTATATTTAATATGATAATGAATTTTAATGATTAGTTTCAATCTTAAATATGTAGCATGATTTTATAAAGGAGAACTTAAGCATTCTGTAAACGTTGTATATGCTTTAAAAATATGGACTCCTGAATTTTATTAGATCTTAGTAAGTGTGCTGTTTAGCTTTAAATGGCATACTTCAGTTAATTTTTTTAGTTCGAACTGACTTTTAATTTTATGTTGCACATTTTTCCCATTTAAGGTTTAAGTAATTGTCCTTGGATAAAAAGTGTTAAGAATGGTGGTGCCACGAGCCCTGATATTTATGTGTGACACAATTCTGGAAAATTGCTGTTTAGTTAAACCCGTGTTCTTTAAGGAGTTAAATTAGTACTGTATATTACAGAAATGGAGATTTGGTGATAACTTTATATTGTGTAAGGCGCTAAGTAAGTGTATAGGCAACTTTTTTCCAAACATATAACATGTAAGTCTGAAGTTTTATAATCTTGCCTCAGACTTCTTTTTCTGCCTGCCATCAATCACATCAATCATTCCTTTAATTGGTCTTTTTTTTTTAAGTTTATTTTGAGATAGGTCTTGCTGAGTTTCTGGGGCTGGCCTCAAACTTATGACTCTCTTGTTTCAACCTTCCAAATAGCTGGAATTACAGGCATTAGCCCCCATACCTGGCTCTGTTCCACTCATTTTTACATCTTCATATTTCCAAATTTTCATTGCTTATGGCTTAGTAAGTGCTGTTCCTTCTAGCTGGAATTCTTACTCCCTTTTTCTCAATATACATTAAAATGGCCCAGGCCAGATATTACCTTTAAAAAACAAAACAAAAAACGCCATCTATAAGGTAATGTAGTCAGAATTTTTTTATTTGCTCCTTTTTTCTATTTTAATTTTACTTTCTCATTGCCTAACATAGAGCTTGAAAAATAGTAAGTTAAGAGATTTAAGAGTATTTTATGGTCCAGGAAATTCTAGTACTAGGCTTTATTATAAATCAGTTGATTCAGAAAAAAATTCAGGAGATATGTGTAGTTTGCTTTGGAATTTGTCCATCTATACTGACTAAATAACTTTAGAAATATTTGTCAGATTGCCTATTTATTCATTCCTTTGGTAATTGTTAACATGAAAGGGTTTTGTGTGTGTTTTGATGTGGACTTGCAACAAAAAGTGAATTTTATCATGAAGTTGTTCTTTGCTTACACAGAGAATGTCCAAGCACACAGAAGCTGCAGAGGATGTACTTCTGGAAAAAAAAGGTTGCGCAGGAGTGATTACACTTAATAGACCGAAGTTACTCAATGCACTGAATCTTAATATGACTCAGCAGATTTACTCACAGTTAAAGGTTTGTAATTTCTGAAAGCATTTATATGGATCATTTAAAAAATGTATCATAATAAAATATTTTATCCCACAGAATCTTTCACAGTTTGGTTGTAAAGATTCTATCCCATTTAGTCATAGGGCTCTTTTGATTATGTACCCAAGCCCCAATGATTCTTGAGTCCTTGGTGCTTTCCTGTGTGATTATCTCTGGGACCTTGGTGATAAGAAGTCTACTCCCTTGCAGGACAACCCCTTCCACTTTTTTTTTTTTTTTTAAATATTTTTTTAGTTGTAGTTGGACTTATGGCTTAGCAAGTTGTTTATTTTATTTATTTATTTATTTGGTGCAGAGGATTGAACCCAGCACCTCACATGTGCTAGGTGAGCGCTCTATTGCTGAGCCACAAGCCCAGTCCCCCCTTCCACTTTTTTAAAAAAATATTTTTCTAGTTGTAGTTGAATGTAATATCTTTATTTATTTTTATGTGGTGCTGAGGATCGAACCCAGCGTGTCAACTGCCCAAAGCGGGTGCTCTACCAATGAGCTACAGCCCCAGCCCCACCTTCCACTTTTATATAGCTCTGATTTTTAACAAGTTCCTTTTTGTATTCTGTCATTCTTTGTTTCTCTGATCTTTGAGCCAATGATACAGCTCTGCCTCATAGAACATGAGTGTACGAATCTACTTTGTCTGCATATGGTAGCCTTTTGGCTAAAAAACAGCTGTTTTTATCTGCCTGGCCTGCCTTTTTTTTTTTTTTTTTAAACCAACAGATATTATTGAGGGGGCTCCCAGAAGGAGAAGAAAAGGAGAGGCAGAGAGCAGAGAAAGGAGGGGAGGAGGGCAGAAAGAAAGAGAGCAGAGAGGAAAGGGAAGATAGCAGGAAGAGGAAAGAAAGAAGAGGAAGAGAGGAAGAGAGCAGAGAGCAGAGCCAGGCCTGCTTTTTCTTAAAGAAGGCTATAAACCTTTCTAATTAAATTACATAGAGTGATAGAAAAATGTAACACTTAAAGTCAGACTACTTATGTTTCAAACTTGGATTTCTACTTGTTAACCATGTACATTGGAAAATTGATTTCCTTATTTCTCCCTTTTTTCAGCTATGAAATAGGGATGATGATCTTTTCTAGAATGATCACAAAGATTAAATGAAATAGTATGTGGAAGTACCTAATATGGCTTGCCATGTAGGTGTTGAACAAATGTTAGTTCTCTCCTGGCCTTTAATTTCTTATTCTTCACTTCATGATCTCTTTCATTCTTGTGTTCTGTTTGAGACATCTTATAGTATGTCCTAAATTGCCACCACAGAAATTATCCAAGTATTACAAGTCAGAGTTGGACTAGAGTGGAAGAAAGTAAAAACTTCCATGTCAGAAGAGCATATTTTTATTATTGTAGTTCAGAATTGCATTGCTCTTTTGAAAGTCATCTGTCTGGCTATATCTCTTTCTTGTGCACTTATAATTTTATTCTGTAAAATAGAGTTCATAGAATTCCTGTTAATTTTTCATTGGACTGTTCTAACCTTTTGAATTTCCATTGGTACTTTATGCAATTATTCTATTTATAGGTGGTGGTAGGAATGAAATCTAGGTCCTTGCTCATATGCTAAGTTCTGTACCACTGAACAACATCCCCAGCCCCAGATCCTGCTTATTTGTTAGTGGTTCTTACCAACCCCCAGAATTTGTACATTTGATTAATATCATAAGTGGTTTTGCTCTATTACTTATAAATGTTTCAGTAGAAAGTGTCATACTATAATAGAAAGGTTATTCCTTGGGCTGGATTTGTGGCTCTGTGGTAGAATGTTTGCCTAGCATGTGTGAGGAACTGAGTTTGATCCCCAGCACCACATAAAAATAAACTAATAAAATAAAGGTATTGTGTCCATCTGCAACTAAAAAAAAGTTATTCCTCTGTTAACAATCTTTGGGTTGATTTGTTTACCAGATTTATAAGTTTATGTAACATATTACCTTTAAGTCCATATTTACTCACCTTGGTCTTAAAGTTATGGTTTATATTTCAGATGCTATCATGAAATTTGGATCACAGAATGTATTCATTTAGCATCCTTGTTGAAATAGCCTCTACTTTATCTTAGAAAAGAAAATGAAGTTCATTCCATGATGAAATGGAATGAATGAGATCCATTCCTCTGGATATGCTTTATAAAAGGTTGTATTTATATATGTACATGTATAGATATGGATGTGTACCTTTGAGTTTGTATTACAGTATGCTTATACCATCTTCTTTAACATTTGGATAGAAGTGGGAGCAAGATCCCGAAACTTCCCTGATTATTATAAAGGGAGCTGGAGGAAAGGCTTTCTGCGCTGGGGGTGATATCAGAGGTAAAAACTCTCCCTACCCCTCATGTAAATGCTTCCTCCCCACTAGAACTGATAAAGTATTGGCAAGTTTTTGTGGCAATTTGTAATATGATATACTTTTTTAGAATTTTTTGGTTACGAGTTAATCTTAAAAATGCAGAAAAATTTAGAGACTTACCTTTTGCTGGTAGTAGTAGAAAATGAGGAGAATAGAGATTTTTTTTCTTCACTACACATTTGCCCTTTGGAAACTTGGATATTGTATCTCTCCTTAAATTGTCCTAAACAAGGTATCCATAGTGGTGTGTGAATCCGCTTCATATTTTAGAATAGCTGATATTAAGCATTTCTGTTTGTTATGTAATTTGGCAATCTGATCATGTTGAGTGACTTCCCAATCTCCAAATATCACCTACTGTTATATATTCCCATAACTTTCACATTTTCCTACTATTTATGATCTAAAGCGAACACTTTCTATATACTTAATGGATTTTTTTCTTTTTTTGGTACCAGGGATTGAATCCAGGGGCACTTTACCATTAAGCCACATCCCCAGCCTTTTTGTATTTTATTTAGAGACAAGGTCTGACTAAATTGCTTAGGGCCTTGCTAAGTTGTTGAGGCTGGCTTTGAACTGAAAATCCTCCTTCCTCAAAAAATGTAAGAATTTAATTCAGACTTAAATCCCAAGATCCTGGGATTATAGGCATGTACCACTGTGCCAGGCTTATTTCTACTTTATATATATTGTGTGTGTATTTATATATTTACATGTGTATAAACATACAGAGATAAATAAAAGTTACTTTTCAAATTGTTTGGGTCAATCTGTACCTGTTTAGCTGTTTAAGAGAGAAGAAATATTTCTTAGGATCAAAGTCATGTACTTACTGTTACCACTATTCATTGTCCATATATATACATATAGAAAACTGTTTTTACAATTTATATTTATTTTCTTATGGAGTGGGCAGGATCCAGGGACATTTTCTCCTAGTATTCTTGTTTTGCATTTTTTTTTTTTTCGTATTGTGATAAGATGATAATATTTGGGTTGATTTGTTCATCAAATTTACAAGTTAATATAAGTCATTAAGAATAGGAAGAAACAATCTGGATTTAGGATATAATTTTAAGTATGTATTAGATTTGAAGTAACTGAGTTTTAAAATTGATGTTTAATATAAACTTTGATTGCTTAAACTGATTTGTTAATTAAATAGTTTTTGAATTTGTTGTTTTACCTACAACATGAATTTTTTTGTGTGTATGTATGGTGCTAGGGATTGAACCCAGGGCTTCATATATGCATGTATGTTCTCTGCCTCTGAACTACACTCCCAGCCCCCATGTGAATATTTTTTTAAAAATTTCTTGAATTTGTTCTAATCAGTTATACATGACAGTAGAATGCATTTTGACATATACAAATGGAGCACAATTTCTCATTCTTCTGACTGTACCTGGTGAGAGTCACACCAGTAGTGTAATCATACATATATTTATGGTAATAATGTCTGTCTCATTCTACTGCCCTTCCCTTTCCCACAGCCCCATGCCTCCCCTCACTCCCCTCTGCATAATCAGGAGTTCCTTTATTCTTCCCTACACTGCCCCCTGCAATGGATCAACATTAACTTACCAGAGAAAATGTTGAGCCTATGGTTTTGGGAATTGGCTCTAGTTTCATCCAGTTACCTGCAAATGCCATAATTGCATTCTTTAAGGTTTTGTAATATTCCATTGTGTATATAGACCATGTTTTCTTTATCCATTCATCTATTGAAGGGCATCTAGTTTGGTTCCATAGTTTATTGTGAATTGAGCTGCTATAAATATTGATGTGGCTACATCATTGCAGTATGCTGATTTTAAATCCTTTGGGTATAAACCAAGGAGTGGGATAGCTGGGTCAAATGGTGGTTCTGTTTCAAGTTTTCTGAGGAATCTCCATACTGCTTTCAATAGTGGTTGTGCCACTTTCCAGTCTCACCAGCAATGTATAAATTTATTAGTTCCGGAAGTTTTCTGGTAGAATTTTTTTGGATCTTCTACATATAGAATCATGTCATCAGCAAATAGTGATATTTTTAGTTCGTCTTTTCCTATTTGTATCCCTTCTTGTTAGGAAGTCAGGTTCTAAACCATTTTCTCCCACATCTTTGTCAACACTTATTATTGCTTGTAAAATAAATAAATATATAAATATAAATAAATAAATAAATAAATAAATATATATATATATATATATATACACACACACACACACACACACACACACTTCACTTTATTTATTTATTAATTTATTTATTTTTTATGTGGTGCTGAGAATTGAACCCAGTGCCTCACCCATGCTAGGAAAGCTTAGAGTACTTTTGATTTGCATTTCTCCAATTGCTGAAGAAGATGAGTATTTTTTCATATAATTGTTGATCGATTGTGTTTCTTCTTCTGTGTCTGTTCAGTTCCTTAGCCCATTTATTGATTGAGTTATTTGGGTTTTTTTTTAGTGTTAAGTTTTTTTTTAGTTCTTTGTATATCTTGGAGACTAGTGCTTTATCTGAGGTGTGTGTGGTAAAGATTTTTTTCCCATTCTGTAGGCTCTCTCTTCACATTATTGGTTGTTTCCTTTGCTGAGAAGAAGCTTTTGAGTTTGAATTCATCCCATTTATTGATTCTTGCTTTTCCTACTTGTGCTTTAGGAGTCTTGTTCAGGAAGTCAGGTAGGTTCTAAGCCAACATGATGAAAAATTGGGCCTACTTTTTCTTCTACTAGGTGCAGGGTCTCTGTTCTAGTGTCTAAGTCTTTGATCCAATAAAAAAAAGTTGATTTTTGTGCAGGGTGAGAGATACAGGTTAAATTTCATTCTGCTACATATGGACTTCCGGTTTTCCTAGCAACATTTATTGAAGAGGCTATCTTTCTTCTAATGACTGTTTTTTGGCACCTTTGTCTAGTATGAGATAACCATATTTATGTGGGTTTGTCTGTGGATCTTCTATTTTGTACCATTGGTCTACATGTCTATTTTGGTACCAATACCATGCCATTGTTTGTTTGCTCAATAATATGGTTTAAGGTCTAGTATTGTGGTGCCTCCTGCTTCACTCTTGCTAAGGATACCTTGGCTATTCTGCGTCTCTTCTTTTTCCAAATGAATTTCATGATTGCCTTTTCTATTTCTATGAAGAATGTCATTGATATTTTTATAGAAATTGCTTTAAATCTGTATAACAGTTTTAGTAGTATGACATTTTGATTATATTAATTCTGCCTATCCAAGAGCATGGGAGATCCTTCCATTTTCTGAGGTCTTCAATTTCTTTCTGTAGTGTTCTGTGGTTTTCATTGTAGAGGTCTTTCACCTCTTTTGTTAGATTGATTCCCAAGTATTTTTTTTTTTTTTTTTGAGGCTATGGTGAATAGGTTAATTCTAATTTCTCTTGCAGAATATTCATAGAGTGTATTTGATTTATGGGTATTAATTTTATATTCTGATACTTTGCTGAATTATTAGTGCTAGAAGTTATCTGGTGGAATTTTTTGATATATGATTGTCATCAGCAAATAGTGATAGTTTCAGTTCTTCTTTTCCTATTCATATCCCTTTAATTTCTTTCATCTGTCTGATTGTTCTAGCTAGAGTTTCAGGGACTATGTTGAATACAAGTGGTGAAAGAGGACATTTCTGTCTTGTTCCAGTTTTTAGAGGGAGTGCTTTCAATTTTTCTCCATTTAGAATGATGTTGGCCTTGGGTTTAGCATACATAGCTTTTACAGTGTTGAGGTATGTTCCTACTATCCTTTGTTTTTCTAGTATTTTGAACATGAAGAGGTGTATTTTGTCAAATGCTTTCTCAGCATCTATTGAGACAATCCTGTGATTCTTGTTTTAAGCCTATTGATGTGAAGAATTAAGTTTATTGATTTCTGTATGTTGAACCAACCTTGCATCCCTGGGATGAACCCCATTTGATTGTGGTGCACTGTCTTTTTAATATGTTTTCGTATGTGATTTGCCAGAATTTTACTGGGAATTTTTGCATCTGTGTTCATCAGGAATATTGGTTTGAAGTTTTCTTTCCTTGATGTGACTGTGTTTAGTTTTGGAATCAGGGTGATACTTGCGTCATAGAATGAGTTTGGTAGGGTTCCCTCCTTTTTATTTCTTGGAATAATTTGAGGAGTATTAGTATTACTTCTTCTTTGAAGGTCTTGTAGAACTTGGCTGATAATCCATCTGGTCCTGGGCTTTTTTTGGTTGGTAAGCATTTGACAGCGTCTTTTATTTCCTTGGAGCAGGGTCCGCTCTTGGGCCCCACCTGGGATAGCAAGTTTGTTGCTGAAAGCTCAGTACTTGTCCCTGATGAGGACATGATTTTGAGAAAAAGGAAAAGAAGGTTTATTGCTTTGCTAGCCAAGTAGAAACACAGGAGATCCTGTCCCAAAGGCTGTGATTCTCTTGCTTTTGTTTTATCGTGTGTGTGTGTGTGTATGTGTGTATGTGTGTGTTGCTAGGCAGCAAACCCAGGGCCTTGTGCATACTGTGCAAGCTCTCTACTACTGAGCTATATCCCTAGCCCTTTTTATTTTGAGATATTATCTCACTAAATTGCCCAGGCTGATCTCAAACCTGTGATCCTCTTAAAGCCTTCTGAGCAGTTGGGACAACAGGTATGCACCACCATGCATGTTTATGTATCCCCTTTTATGGGAAAGTATTATGTAAGAATTATTGATTAGATTTTGAGACAACCTCTAGAGTTCTGATATATAGTCATCCTTCAGTATCTGCCTCCTGAAGGATTGATTCCTTTCACCCAGGATCCCAAAATCCACAGATGCTCAAATCTCATATAAAATGGTGCTGGGGATGTAGTTCAGTGGTAGGCTTGCCTAGTATGTGCGAAGCCCTGAATTCAATGCCCAACACAGCCAAAACAAAACAACAACAACAACAAAAAAAACATGTATATATCATACAAGTACATTTAATTTATATTTTAGATTATTCTCAGAATTTAAGTACAGGAAAGGCATATGAGTTTGCAGTTTATAGAAGAAAAACTATAGAGATTGATTGCAGTAGGAGCACAGGAGATGTGAAATCTGCCTACGAGAAAATTGCAATAGAAATGTAACTATTTGATAGTATTCATTACTCAGCATATATCTACTGAGTGCTTGTTTATTAAGTCAGGCAGCAGAATGCTATAGCAATGTCTTTGAGAAGTTATATTTCCATTGTTGTTACTGACAAATAAGAATGTTACTGTCTTATTTACCTTTCTAGCCTCACCTTTTATCATTTCCCTTTAGTCTTTTAAAATAAATTTATTCTTGATTTTACCTTTGCATCCTTGCTTTTCTGCTTTTGCAGGTACTGCTTCCTCCATTTAAAACTTTCCTCCTGACATTTCTTAGGAACTTCCTACCTGTCTTTTTCTTACTTGGTTCAGACTTGCCTCTTCTGGAAAGCCATCTTTTAATCACATCCCTCCTTGCTCCCATTCCCATAGCACCCCATTGTTATTTTTGCTATCTATAGAACCTCCCACTTTAGATAGTAGTTGTAAGCCCTGGGTTTATCTGCATTCTAACCTGCACTTTGATAAATCAGGTTCCCACAACTCACTCCTCAAGTTGTTGATTTACTCATTAACTCATGGAACTCAGAGTAACACATTTACTGATTTATTATAGAGAATATTATAATGAATACATATGGATTGATGCATAGGACAAGGACAGGGTTGTGGTACTTCCATGCCCTTATTGGGCACACCACTCCTAAAAACCTCTTCATGTTCACCTGTCCAGAAGCTCTCCAAACCCTTTGTTTTTGTGTTTTCTTGGATACTTCATTTTTTTAAGCATTGTTGAAGCATAGAGAACCATGGATTAAAAAGGGTGTGATCTAATGCTTGTACACCAAGTGGCAGGGCTTATCTGTTCTGGTGCTTTGTGGCCTCCCTGTGCAGCATTCCTCCCTCCCACATCTGGGCTAAGACTTCTCAAATGGGGTCTGTGATCTGCTGTCAGACAAAGTGGGTCAAAGAGCAACTTCATGACCAGCTCCAAGATAGAAATATAGGGAAAGGTTTTGAGTATGTGACCAGCTTTTTGAAAGAGAAGTTCTAGTTTCTCTGGTCTGTTTTGGAGAGGGAGTTAAGGGGCCTGGAACTGGGGATAAAAACCAAAATATGTGTGTATTTCATAATACCAAAGTAAGTCAAATAAGAATTTTATCTTAGGTAAAATTATCTTAAAACTTTGATACCGGACTGTAGCTCTCTAAATATAATATTTCTGTGGTATGATCAGCTTTAATTTTACCAAGTCATTTTAGAGTCCTCCACCCAGTACTTAATTATCACAGTATTTTTAATATGTCAACTAGAAAATACATTTTTTGATTTCTAATTGTTCTTCCTTTTCTTTCAATTTCTAATTTTTTCCTTTCTTAGCAATCTCAGATGCTATGAAGACAAAACAGAAACTTGCTGAAGTTTTCTTCAAAGAAGAATATATACTGAACAATGCCATTGGTATGTGTATGCTCTAGAAAGCTTTGAAAATGGAATCAAGAAATGGGGTGGGCAGTATGATTTGCTAAGATGTCATCAGTAGGCACTTTTTTTTTTTTTGCTACTGGGGATTGAACCTAGGGGTGCTTTATCACTGAGTCACATCCTCAGCCCTTTTTATTTTTATTTTGAGGCAAGATCTCACTAAGTTGTTTTGGGATTCACTAAGAGCTAAGACTGACCTTGAACTTAATGATCCTACTGCCTCAGCCTCCCAAATTGCTGGGATTATAGGCATGTGCCACCTTGCCTAACTTATTGAAACTTTTATATACTATGTGTTGGACCTAAATAAAGTTGATTTAAGTATTTGGACTGGTTATTACAGAACAATTATACCTTAATATTTGTAGGCTATACTTCACTACTGTCTCATGAAATTTCTAATCATACAGTTAGCTTTCTTATTGAACAAAAAACTTGGGTCTCAGCTTTCTATATAAAATGTACCATTTCCTAATTCTCAAGGAACTCTGAAATGAAAATTTTTTTATAGTCAAAGTTCTAGTTTCACTGGAAGCAAAGCAGTATTTACTTTTATCAAACATGTGTTTTCAAAAGTTAAGTTATAGGGAATAACAGTAAATACTTATGTACCCACCAGTCCAGCAATAACAGATATCAATATATTATTTTTGCTTGTTATTGAAAATTTTATTTAAAAGAAATAAAGTATTTTAATTTTTAAAGTCATAATTCAGCCCATTTTGTGGTTTTCCTTCATGTCATTCCTTTATCTAAGCAGAAGCAACCATTGGTTGTGTGTAGTGATGCAACCATAACTTAACTTTACTAAATGCTTATAAACTTGTTAGTGTTTTGAAATATACATAAAAACTCTTACTATGTATAGATGTTCCCTGACTTAGAGTGGTTTACTTTAATCATTCACATTTACAATGGTGTGAAAGCAGTACGCGTTCTAGTCCGTGTTCTGTAGAAATTGTATTCAAATTTAGAATTTTGATCTTTCTTGGGCTTGTGATATGTAGTTCAGAACTCTCTCACGATATTGGGCAGAGCAGTAAGGCTCTGAGTTCACAAGTCAGCCATGAGTTCACAAGGTGAACAGCTACTGTGATGTTTGCTAAATTAGATATGTTAAAATGTTATTTTACTTGCAATAGTTATAATTTAATAGTGGTTTTATTGGGTGAAAATTCATTGTAAGTCAAGGAGAATCTATATGTGTTCCAATAAGTTGTTTTTAATAACATGAGTGTAACTATATAATAATTATGACTATATGCCCATATTATTTATTCTACATTTATGGATATCTTAAGTTATTTCTAGTTTTTACTAATGTAGGTGATTATAACCTTATGATGTCCATGTGTTAAAATTTCTTTAGGAATAATTATGTGGAATGGACAGCTCATAGAATTAATACATCTTTTTTTCCAAATTCTTCCCAAAATGTTTTTTTCTATACATCTTTTGTCATGACTACCCTTGGATTTTTCATCTTCCAGAATTGCTAAGTGGATCAAAACATTGAAGTTTTATATTGCCATTTGATAAGGAGGTAATCTTAGCAAAAAGCTATAGTTGAAACTCAATGATTTATATTTTTGTTATATTCTGGCCAACTTTCCCTCTCACAGGAAAAACAAAAGAGGGAATGGATGGATGACAATAAAAGTTCATATGATTACCAAAATTTTCAACTGGGAAAGGACATCTGAGGCCATATGTTAAGTCTCATCATCTTTTAGATGAGGATACACACATACATACATACATACATACATACACACACACACTCTTATCTGTCATGCATATATATTATATATAATTTATATCTATGTATTTATCATTTAATACCTAGTTGAATTGCCAATTAATGATAAAGCTGAAACTAGAATCTGGGTCTTCTAATTCTCAGTCCATGCTTTTTCTTGTATGCTGGACTTTGTTGTATGTATCCAGATACTTTAGTTATATGAAAAACAAATATGTTCTTTAAAATACAACTGCGCATGTAAATATCAGTGACTTATAAAATAAATACTATATTTCTTAATAGCTGAGTTACATGATAATTTGTTTCAAATTGAAGTTTGAGTTGTTAATGAATAGCTAATCAGGATTGTGTATGGATTGACATTTAAAAAATATTTTATAAGCTTTACAATAGTTCTCTTTGATATTTCTTACAAAAACTTCCTAGGAATAATAGAGTCTATATAACATGATTTTTGAAAAAGTGAATATATTGTAAATATTGCAACTAAAATTATAGGTCTGTTTCTTTTAGCTTCTCTCCAGAAACCATACATTGCACTTATTGATGGAATTACAATGGGTGGGGTAAGTAGTCTTTTTGCTCTCTCCATTGATGAGTGAGTTGTATTAAAAATAAGTTACTAATTATTAAATGGAAGTGAGGTGATGAAAATGATAGAACTCTCTGAAACAAAATCATATGTGGATTAGATTTTGAATCCTGACAGAATTGGTTTAGAGTATTTGCTTATAGCAGTTTTAGACTTATCTCAACCCACAAGACTATTTTATGTTCTTAATTATGTTATATATTATTTTAATTTTTTTTTTGAATTAGCAAAATTTCTTTTCTCTCTCTCTCTCTCTCTCTCCCCCCCCTCTCCCCCCCCTCCTCCTCCTCCTTTCTCCTCCTCCCTCCTCGCCCCTCTCTTTTTGTATCAGATATTGAACCTGGAGCACTTAACCACTAGCCACAAGGTCTTGCTAAGTTGTTTAGGATCTCACTAAGTTGCTGAGGCTGGCCTTGAACTTTAAATCCTGCTGCCTCCTGAGTTGCTGAGATTACATGTGTGCATCACGAAGCAACAAAAACTGCATTTTTTTTTTTTTTGTTAATATGTAGAGCTTTTTATTCTACTTACAAATCAATTTCTTGCTTTCAACAGCTTCAGAAGAGAAACAGGAATGTAAAATTTTTCTCTTAGACTATTAGTGATGGAAATGAGGTTGACTAAATTTTATCTATTGTATATAATTTCACCTTGGTGGAAGTGCTTGTAATCTTTAGGAAATTCTCTAAAACTGCATTTTTATCAGTTGACACATTTATTTTGCCTCTGCTATTATAAAGAATTCTGAAATGTAACTGACTTTGAATGACTTGATATGGAGTTGGGATGAATGTGAAATAATTATAGAACAAATAGTAAATTATATGGTCATGACTATAACAAAGATAAGCCTTTAAAGAAGTGAGTGTTCAGAAAGGATCTTTATGGTGGAAAAGGGGCTTGCTTCATGGAAAAGATGGTGAATTTAACTCAGCTTAGAAAGATAGTATGGGGAGAAAAAGTAATATCTTTTGTTTATCCAATTGCAAGGGTCATGGCTGACATGCTAGAACAAAAGATTAACAAGAGAGAAGCTTAACATTTATTTAATCAAAGTTTTACAAGATGCAGGAATATTAAAAACCCAAAGACCAGGGAAGACTGTATTTTATAAGGGTTTGATGCAGACTGGATGGTTTGGAGAGAATATGATTGCAGAAAAGGAGTACGAAACAGTGTTCCTAGACTGGGGGACTTAGACTGTTGCTCAGGTTCTTCTTGGCCTCTCTGATAGCATTCCTTCCTCTAGCCATAATGCAGGATGCTCTTCTCTTGACAGTCTAATGATATACTTTTAGGAGAGGTTGCTCAGAGAATTCCTTTATTGCTAGCTGTTGTAGAAAGACTTTGAAAATATGGCCCTTTGGGACGTGTGATCTGAACCCTAATAACAGATAGAACTTAGCCTATCTAAGGCTAAAGAGTAGAATTTCAAAAATTCTACCTGCTGGCTGTAGATTGTAGTGCCATGCCTGTGATCCCAATGACTTTGGAGACTGAGGCAGAAGAATTGCAAGTTTGAGGCCAGCCTGCGCAACTTGGTGAGACCCTCTCTCAGAAATTTTTTTAAAAATTGAAAAAGGTATGGGGATGTAGCCAATGGTAGAATGCTTGTCTGGTTCAATCCCAATTTGGAATACAGATTTCCCTCTCCTTCCTTATTCTTGTGGAACCACCATAAATTAAGCCTCTTGGGTATCAGGAATTGCTTAGATCCTGTATATATCATTTTTGGGGGGCTGGTTCCACTAGCAGCTGTGTAGTTAGAAAGCAGAATCAAGGACAGCCTAATGGTCTCTTTTTGTTGGGTGATATAGGACATGGTTTAGTTTACTTTCTTTGTCATGGAAGTGTTAACCTGGGGAAAATAAAATCTCTTAAAAAAATTAAAATAAAAAAAACTTGTCAAATAAGGGAAAAGTCAAATAATCTGATGTATTGAGGGAGAGCCACTCTGTGAATGTAGAGAACCAAGAAAAAGTGAAAAGAAAAGCAATAGGCATACCCAATAGCATAGAAGAAAATGTGGTCCCAGTGAAACAGGAGATAACCCCCATAAGGAGATAGCAAACTCGGATGAAAGGGCTTCCAGTTGAAAAGGGGAACAAGTAATATAAGGAAGGATGATGAAGAACTAAAATACAATAGCAGAACTGACATTTCATTTTGAAAGCAATAGGTGAGAAAGAATTGAATATTACAAATAGTGAAGTTGTATCTGTGGAGAACAAGCTTGAGAAATTCTCTCAAAACAAAAATGTTCAAAAAAAAAAAAAAAAAGGATAAAAATGATGAGGATTGGGGATGGAATATAGCTCCGTTTTAGAGTGTGTGTTTAACATGCTAGAGGTCCTGGCTTCAATCCCCAGAGCCAAAAATATGGACTAATTTTAATATGAAAAGATTGGTGAAGTGTCCTGTAGTGATATCAACAGGCAGAATGTCCTCCTCTTTACAGAAACCTGGGAAGAATCTTTGCACTACACCTTATCTGAATGCACTGGTTGTTCCTTTTGTAGCAGCCTTTTTAAACTAGAATTACACCAATTAAGTGTTAGTATCTGAAGGCAATGGCTTTCCAGGTGTTATCTCTGCAGTAGCAGCAGTAGCAGTGTTTGGGAACTTATTAGAAACCCATATTTTTCTATCCCACACCAGGGTCAAACCAAGATCTTAGATGCCACAGTCTGTTTAAACAGGCCTTCCATGTGATTCCAGTGATTGAGAATCATCGCCCTAAAGCAGCCACTGTGTGTAATGAATTAACTTCTATCCCATTTTTGTCCTGTGCTTTTTAGAATGGTACTCTGTTCCATCCTTGAGAGAATTGAGAAAATAATCATGTCATTACAACAACCCATGGTTGAGATGAAGAAGCCTTAGGAGAGAAATTTTGTTTTACATTACATTTTATCTGCTCCCCTAAAACAAACAAACAAATAAAAAACTTATGTGTCTTTTCTCCCAGCAGGTCTGTCTATCACATTCTTAAAAACTTAAGTTCTAATTTTTCTTCTTTTTTTTTTTTTGACAGTCATAAAAACTATTACAATTAGACGTGATTTCTTCCTTCATTTGAGTCAGTATATTCATCTGAACTCAAAATTTGGTGTTTTTTAGAGAGAGAGAGAATCTTTTTTGTAGATGAACACAACATAATGCCTTTATTTTTATGTGGTGCTGAGAATTGAACCTGGGTCTCGCCTGTGCTAGGCGAGTGCTCTACTGCTGAGCCACAATCCCAGACCAATATTCATCTGAACTCAAAATTTGGTGTTTGTACCTCATTGTTATTTTATGATATGGCTTGTTTCCCTAGGAATATCGGGTGATTTGTAAAGACAATGTTCCCATAAGAACATGCCAATGTGTGCACGTGTATAAAAAATACATTATTAAAAATCCTATTCTGATAATGTCTTGTATAGCCTTTTGAAAGAGTAAAATGAACAGATTAGAGTGAATTGGCTTTTTTTTGTAATGGAAATTTTTTATGTAGCTTGGTTTTGAAAGCTAAATTTTTATGTTTCATTTACAAACTAGTTAACCTAAAACTTTTCATGAACTCTAGCTTTTAAATATAATTCTCTAGATCAATGACTTTCAACTTTGACTGCACTTTATTATCATTTGGGAGTCTTTAAAATATTCTCAGTGCCCAAGCTTTCCTCAACTCCCATAACCGATAAATTGGATATTGGAGTTGGACCTATTCATTTTTAAAGCTCCCTAGTGATACTAAATGAGTGTCAGGTTAAGGATTCCTGATCATAATTAGTGTGTAGTTCAGAGTCAGTCACTTGTGTAACTCTTTCTAAATTTTCAAAAGACAATGATTCTCTTATTCTGGCTGGTATCAGAATCACTCAGAGGGCTTGTTAAAATACAACCCCCCTCCACCCCATTTCCAGTTTAGTAAGTCTGAAGTGTGGCCTGTGAATTTGTATTTTTGAACAGGTTCTTAGATGATGTTGATGTTGATGATGCTGGAGGCAAGGTCACTTTAGATAACATTTCTGTAAGATGTTGAGAACAGTTTGTTACTCAAAAGTTTTTATTTTCAGCTGGACACAGTATGCATACCTGTAATCCCAGGAGATTGGGAGGCTGAAGCAGGAGGGTTGCGAGGTCAAAGGCAGCCTAAGCAAAAGTGAAGCTCTAAGCAACTCAGTGAGACCCTGTCTCTAAATTTAAAGAAGTACAAAATAGGGCTGGGAATGTGGCTCAGTGATTGAGTGCCCCTGAGTTCAATCTCCAGTATCTTGCTGTCCCTCTAAAAGTTTTTATTTTCGAATTTTTCATTAGAATTTGTGGTACATAATTATTACATGCAAACACATTTTTAATTGGTTAAAAGAAAAACTTCAGACAAAATTAATAGTTTATTTGAGCAAAGAACATGAATCGGACTGCACTCAGCATTGGAAGGATTGTGAGACCTCTGCCTGGCAGCAGGGAGCTTTTATAAGCTGAACACAGAAACAAAGCAAAATTTGCATTATTTGGGTATAGTATTATTAGTTGGCTGCCTGTGATTGACTGAAATTCATCTTTTTTTTTTTACTAACACTTCTAAATTTGGTTTGGATTTAAGTAATAGGGTTGAGGTATCTTACAAAGGACCTAAAAGTACAGAGACAATATTAGGTCAGTGACCTATTTATTTAAATGAGCAAACCTAATATATAACTGTGAATAAATTGGAGCAAATAAGGCTTAAGAAAAAGTTTTAGGAATAGTAGTTGTCTCTGTTTTTGTTTTGATTCTGGTCAATACATTTTTTTTAATACTAAAAGAATTTTCTTAGGAATTTGAACAATCCAAAAGACTGTGTCAGAAAGCTTGATTTTACCTCCTTCCTCTCTTGCTGTAGAAAGTATTATTTTTTTACCCAACATGGAAAATTACAGTTTTACTGTCATGCACTATGAAGAATGGCACAGAACTTTGCAGGGGAGATAGCTAAATTCTATT